AGAAATACTACAAGATGGCCAAACAAGAGGTAGGGAGCGAGTTAAGGAAAATAATCCAAAATATGGTGTTATGTGAAAAATAATTCAAACAAGGAAATTTGCTCGAAGTAATATGAACTATCAACAAATATGTACAAAATGATGAGACAATTTTTTTAATGAAATCTTAGGGAATTTTCTGACAACATTTTTTTATTTTGAAAATTAATAAAATTATATTTCAGAAAGCAGAATTTTGAATTTTTCGTCTTTTTGGAAAAACAATATATTTGATCAACAACAACAAAGCCTAAGTCTCAAAATGAGAATATATTCAAAGATTGTAGATATCATAGGATCATATTTATATCATTTTGCATATAAATGTGAATACAATGTTTTCCGAGCAAAATTCATAGTTTAAATTATTTTCCACTTATCAATTATAGTTTGTTCCACCAGTTTCCCCTTTAGTAAAAGGTCGTTTTTTTTTTTTTATAAATATATAGAAACATTATCTACGAAGAACTTCAGTACAGCTTTCAACAGACTGTAGCACTCTGCCACAATACACATTTTTCAACGGGAAACCAAAATTAATCATTGGCTAGCACCAATAATAATAGCTAATATCTAGAACAAACCATTTTTCCTCTTTCTTTCTCTGTCTCTCTTCCACTCCTCTAGAACTTTTGACTCTGAAAGTAACTTAGAACTTAACCCCAAGATGATCCTATTCAGTGGAATACAGAAATATAAACATTGTGACAAACACATGGACAACAGTTCCTAGGGCTTCTTAACAGGCAAGAAAACACCGCCAAATAAGAGTCAATATCAAAAATTATACAGCAGATATCAAGAGCTTAATTTTAAAGCCATTTACTCAGTTACAAAGTAACACCTCCCCCCTCCACCCTATCAATATGTTTTGAGGATATACAAACAAGCTAAAATACGAAGTAACATAGCATGAACAGATGCATACCCTAGAAGAAACACATATTGTCCAGTCAGGTTGTCAATGTTTCTAGTTCTCTGCAACAATACCAGCTGGGGAAGTATGGCAACTGCTTCCAAATACAAGGAAAATGTCCACATGACCTGAAACCATGTAATAAACAGATGAGAAATACGATATCATACCACCAAAATTCTTAAACATCATAGTGATGGCAATAAATACATTACCTCTTTAAAATTGAATCTCTCATTGATAAGACAAGCCAAGAGCAAGCAAGGCAATACTAAGAACCAGTGTCGGAAGGTATCTTGATCTTTGTCATATGACCTCTTGACAATTTTGTGGCTTCTCATGTACCAAACAATTGAAAAGGAGCTGCTGAGAAATATTAGCTTCATGACAGTGTTATACACTGATATGAAATCCGTGAAGATATCCAGGTAGCGAGTAGCAAAAACAATTGCATAGAGTTCCTGAGTCTTCAAAGAAACACCTACAAATGACAAAGTACAAATCTCAATATGTAATGTCAACTAGACTAGAAACAATAATAGCAAAAATATCAAGTAGAGAGATGAATAGAAGGGAGACGTCAGCTTAATTAATTAATAGTCCATTCACTATCAACAGAATACAAGAATTCACATCTGCCTTGATGCGTAAAATATGCAGCACTTGGATCATGGATAGCAAATGTAGTGCACCTCACATGAATAAACAAAAAAATATGGTCATATACCGCATACATACTAAATATACACAATCATGTAAAAATCAGCAAGGTAAGATAGTTGCATCCAGGTTTTCAAGGGAGTGAGAGCCAGTAAGCCGCATCCAAGGGCATTAAAATAAGCAGAATATAAGTCCAACGAATTAGAAGCAATATTAAGAGAATAGCAATGGTTAAAGATAACAAAGCAAAGAGATCATGCTCCTCTACATATGCGTAAAGGACTTTGAATCTTAGGTTATCTCCAATTCCTATATGAGGTGTGTGATGTGGTATACTAAAGAACGTCTAAACCATCGTTCATGAGGATAAGGAAGGACCTGCGGAACAATGATAGAGGACTAGTCTCATACGTCATTGGGGGATCGGATATTGGACCCACTTCCATTAAGGAATCTACTTCATTAAACTTTTCTGCAATTTCTTTTGTTTCAAATGCTTTCCCTTCTCTTTGGTGCCAACTAGGACTGGTAGCATGGTCTTATCTTAGAATTTCACTTTGATACAAAAAGGGAGCTTCTCTTTAGCACTTGACATTTTACTTTTCTGGCATATTAGATCTTTTCTCTTCCCCTTCCTTGGGGGTTACGGTGATAGGTATAAACTAATAGTAGTACATAAAGCTCTTCCTTTTACTTTCTTTTATCATTCATGCAATTTATGATGATTGATTATCAGCAAGAATTGCATGAACTATCAATCATCATAAATTGCATGAGCTCGGCAAAATGTCTCCTTAACAGATGAGTTGAGTGTATCTTCCAAACTATGGAGTATCAGTGATTTTACTCAAAGCAAACTCAAACAACATTTAAAACATGAGATAGTGCTACTAGTTCAGAAGGTGGATACTAACCTGAATTTATAAGTTTATAAACATGTTATTGGATAGACAGAACAAGTTCACTAAGCCCATAAGGTCATACTCAACAAGTTACCACACCACAAAGCTACGCATCTTAAGTCAAAATCCATATGTTATAACATAAATTCCCATATTCACCCCCTTCATACAGAAGGCTATAGCTGTAGTTCAGTACCTGTACTAACAATGTAAAGACCTATGGATTCACATCTTATCAACCTTTTTGACCAATCGCTAATAGGATTTATACTCGCAAGAGTAGTCGCAACCTATTATACACAAAGGGGAAACTATCTAAAGTTCGCAACCGAGCTATTCCCAACAGGGCATAAACGGATAAACCCATATGATATCCTAGTTGTTTGAGCCAAGGAATTCCCCTTAAGTTTCACTTTTATCAAAACCAACAAACATCCATAATTTCATAGCATAGAATTTAAACAATATTAGACTTAGCTGATCACGACAATCAACCTGCACATTAGTACATTACCTCCTAAAATGTCTATAACCAAAATCGAAAACCTTGCCAATTCCAGAAGCTAAAACTCCACAATTACTTCCATCTTAAGGTAATCGCCTCAATTCATCCCCAATAAGATAAACACACATACAGCTCCACAAAAGTCACTCATTTCAACACTCATTTCATATACCCATCACATAATTATCTTCCATAACCATCATTAGCCCAAAAATCTCAACACCCACGAGCTTAAATTCCACAATTTACCCTAAAAAATACGACCCATAAATAATTAAAAAAAATGAAAAACTTAAAATGCAAATCATCAACAAATACCCAGAAACACAACAATTTTATACAAATTGACACTTATAAAACTACACTAAAATGAGGTTTAAATAAAGAGAAATAATTACCAGCACATGATTTGATGGTATGGATCTTGAGAAGCAAAACAAGAACACTGGCCAAATGGGTCATATCACCAGCTAATCTGAAGATATTCATCTTGAATAATTTCGATCAAAACCCACCAAATTAAATAAAATGTAAGATCAACCCAAAAATAATTTCAGTACCCCAGATCGTTTTCTAGCTTAGATCTAGAAAGATCTGGGAAATATGGGGAATAAATTTTAGGGTTTTTCCCCTATTTCTACTGTACTATTGTAGTTTTCTTCCTTCAGATTGGATTAATAGGTCGAAATTATACAATGAAATTAGTAGATAGGAGGAGAGAAATGTTGGTCTAAATTTCGGACACTATAAAACCATTTTTGCAAGTCTGGTAGAATGTGACTGTTATTTTTGTTTTGTTTAAGGGTTGGGAAGGTTCTATGTTTTTTTTATTTTTTTTTCATGAAAATACAAAAAAAAAAAAAAAAAAAAAAAATGATTTTTTGGGGTCATACTTAATTTGGGGGTGTTTTACTGATTATTTGGTGGATTAAGAAAGAAGAGGTTTAAATATGTTGACTCATGAAGTTTATCAATTTTGCAATGGTTTGACTTTTATGCAATTTATTATATATATATATATATATATATATATATATATATATATATATATATATATATATATATCACTTGTCAATTCAGATAATGAGTTGTGAGACATATTTCGGGTTGAATTCGGGTTAGATTTAGGATCGTGCTATAAAGTTATCTCAAAAGGTGTATTACTCAAAATGATAACGGATCATTCAAAAAAATGATAAATGGGTTGTTGAGTTTGGCCGAGTCAAGTCGGGTTCAGGTTCTCTCTCGGTAACTTATTGTCATTTGTTAAATCCGAGTCGGGTCGAGCTTGGAATTGACAACTCTGATTGTATTGATTTATGAGCCATGTAATTTGAGATACTACAGAAAAAGGAAAATTGCTGGTAAATTAGGATATATTGAAAAAAAATTAAAAAAATATATCATAGACTCATAGTAATTTGAATCCATAAGAAAAAAAATGTCAGGGTTACTTATGAAGTTAATCGATTGGTCAGGGGTCTCTCTCTCTCACACACACACACTAAAAAAAAAAAAAACGCTAATTGCTTGAGTAACCCAAAATAAGTAACCCTTGACCAATTGAGGGTATGTTCACTTTAGCTTAATTTCAGTTTAGTTCAGTTCAACTCCAATCAATTCAGTTCAGCTTAGTTCAATAAATGCAAACATGCCTAGAGTAACTTCGGCCACACTGTAAAAAAAACACTGAATTTGTAATCTCAATAAATTTCAATGCAACAAAATCTAATTAACTTGAATTAGGTTTCCATATTTTCTATTTTTTTTTTTTTTTGAATAGCCATATTTTCTATTTGTTTAATCTTAATTTTAATGAATCATTCAAAATATAACACTTATTAAAACACGAAGGAAGTAAGACGTAACAGGGCTAATTGGTCTTGAGACATGACTAGCTGCACGCACCATGCGGTTAGCCGCCATAGACCCTAGTTAAAAAAATAAAAACGGAGAAATAAATTGGAAATGAGAGTAATCGAATTTCTCGATAGAATTAGAAGGATAAAGATCAAAGAAACCCTCCTACGTTTATTTCTCCCACTTTTGGAGCTTTTGCATCCCTTCCATCTCTCTCTCTCCTGCATTCAACCGTACTCCCTCAATACGCCATTGAAGCGCCTTCTTAGCTTTCTCTCCTCCATTCAAGCAGCTCTCAGGTAAGGCTTTTTTTCTTTTTCTTAATCATCAGTTATCAATTTCATAATCCAGTGTTAATCTTTAATTTTATTGCTAGTTTAGCCAATTTAGGGTTCTTGATTATTGAACTATTGGTTATTATTGTTGAATTTATGAAAGATTATGTCAAACGATTTCGTTGCTAGAACTAGCTATTCATATTATATAGCGAGAAGAATTTAATGTGATTTTTTGGAACTTACTTTGATGATTGATTCAATTTTCGTTGCTAATGTGTTGTGGGCTTTTGTTTATATATCACTTTAATGTTGAGATGGAACTATGAAAATGGAAATTGTCTCCCTGGGCCAAGGATGCGCAATCGCGCCGTGGCTCAGGGACTGGCTTGATTGAGGTTGTGAGCTTGATATTTCTAGCTTACCATTGAGGTGTGATTTATGCATAATATAACTGAATCGAGATAAGAAATGTCGTAGTTTACATTGTTTGAATTTGTTGAATAGAGATAGTGTAGTTGGTTGCAGTAATGAATTATGTATGTAATATATTATTGGTGTGCTTTGTGAGATGTTTTGGGCTACCATGGATTTTTATGAAATCAAATTATGATATTAGAGAGTTATTCGTATACATTGTCTCGGTTTAAAAATAAAAGACTACGGATTTTCGATGATTACTGAAATTGAAGCAATTAGAGGTGTCATCAAATCCAAGCCAGTAGGATGCATTTTATTCTGTTCCTAATGATGACTGGAAGATGGAAGTGGTGGTTGTGGATGCTTTATTTCTTAAACCATGATGCTTAAACATCTGTATCTTGATTTTACAATTGAACTCCTTTTGTGTTCGATGGCTATGCCAACATATTGGTATTACGCAGTGTTTTTATTTTATTCTTTGTATTAGATGATGACCTGTACTTGTTTTTTTGTTTGGATGACGGTTTGTATTCTTCGGCACTTAGTTTCTCTACTCATATTTCATTCTTGGATCTTGATCCCAAAACCATATGAGCTTGTGAACTAAAAACCTCATAATCCCCATAGATCATGTTTTTTCCTTTTATCTCCATAAATTTACCCTCCGTTCTCCTATTAATCAACCACCACTGCCTATGCTATGTCTATAGGAGAGCTAATTTTGACATCCTCGTTGTTCCGTGTTCAAGGAATTTTGTCCTCTGAAAGTTAACTTACCCCTTCCTTTGTCTTTCATACGTTCAATTCATTTCCAATCTGCTTTGCATGATTTTAAATAACTTATTACTATACACCCCAATTTCTTTTTTTTTTTCTTTTTTTTTCTTTTTTTTTTTTTTTTGGGGGGGGGGGCTTTAACTGTCCATATTATTTTGATTAGATTTTACAAGTCAGGTTCAGTTTTCTTTTTTTATTTTGGGTTTTGGTTTATAAATTTGGCAACCCAGTTAATGGCTTGTGGTCTTAGCGGAATTCTATTTTTGATTGGGGAGGTTGCTAGGGAGCTTATAATGTGATACTTCGTATAAATACTTATATTTACTTGAATATGTTAAGCTGATAATCATCTTCAATAGCTTTTCATTTTTTTGGTTGTGCAATTGGCGGAAGTTTAGTTATCTATAGCATCCTTCCCCCCAAGAAAAAATGTATTTTCTTCAATATGGTTTACATACAATTTGGGCTTTAAATCTATATTCAACATATTGCAAGAAACTGTGATGTTCTGCTACTGACAATTGGCTGTTAATTATCGTTTTTTGTGCTTATGTTTGTTGTGGTGTGACACTGTCTAGGTTAAAGCTGATCAATTATAAATGGCGATATCTACAATGAGTGCCACTTCTGGAGTTTCTGTGGCATTATTACCCCCAGGTTTGTGAACTTTTTTCTTTTCAATGCTCAAGTTAAATTGACTTATCTCATTGGGGACGTGGGGTCTTCATCTGTTTGGTTGTTGGATAAGATTGTATATTTTGGGGAAGTTTTGGTGAAAGTAGCTGACTGAAAAATGTTGTTTGAGATTATTTTGAGCTCCCTATGGATTTTGGCTCACATTACAAGGTGAATGTGATTTTAATAGCGTTTTGTTATGCCAGTAATCTACACCTTTATCCACATTTTCTAAAAATTGTATAGTAACATATTTTTTCGGAAAACCCCTTATGGCCTTATGTGGTCTTTGACTCTTTGTTGATAACAAAAGTTTGCTTTATATTTTTTGAGGTTATGTTGTCTTCTACTCATACTATTGTTTTTTGCCAAGATGACTTGGTGCCGTGGTTTCTACTTGTTCTGTGGTAGCTAACGGTAATACATAATTGAACAGTGAGATTTGATTCTCCGAGGAGGGGCCCATTAAAGCATGGTGTAGCGGGGCTTGGTAAGGTGTCATTAGGTTTGAATCTTGAACGGAATTTGGGAAAGATTGAAAAGTTATCATTATGTTTGAGTCACAAGCAAAGGTTAACTCCAATAACTAGAGTGCGTTCTGCTTTTGTGGTCTGCTCAGCTGCTTTGGTAAGCTCCTTCTCCATTAACCATTTGTCACTTCTTTTGCCTATCTGAATCCTTTGGTTCTTTTTGCAATTTCTGTGATAAGTTTTAGATACAATGATTAAAGCCTTGTAATTGGTAGAAAAGTTTCTAGTACATTTGCATGTGAAACGTAAATGTTACATGAAAATCTTCAACTTTTGGAATGATGAACTGATTGATGCACAGTTGCACACAGAGCACATAAATGCTATTTTAGTGAGTCTGTCAATATAGTCCTAGAGTTTTATTTGTAAAACAGATGGGTTTTTCCATGAGTGTGAAAATAGACGGGCTATTCCACGAGTCTGACAATATTCATCAAGTTGTTGATCTCTCGTTCTAGTCATCAGCTCCATGCTTTTATGTTCAGTTGTAGAAGTGTGCTGTTGTCAAGAAGGATAGGTGGATACTTTATATACTCCTGAAGTTGCTAGAAATGCATATCTTGGATATTAATGGGTTTGCAATCCCTATTACTCTGAATAATCATTACTCTGGAAAAAAAAAAGTAAGGACTGTGAAATTCATAGGGGACAAGTTTTGCTAATTTTTTATAAAAATAATTTTTTTGTATAAAGACATAAAAATATATTATGTTGGTATAATTTAATCTCAGAGATCTTTTGTAATATTAGTTGAAAACTAGTAAACATATCGAAGGGAACTTCCACTTTGCTTGTTCAGGGGATTTTTCTTAAAATCTGAAAGAGTTTGTTATAGATTAATTCATCTAATTGCAATGATCGAATAAAATTAACACACAAAGGGTAGAGAAGGACTGCTTCTTCATTAACACAGGGGATTTGAAGGATACAAGAGCAACTTTAGGCTGCCAATCTCCAAGCAACTTGAGGTTGCAACTCTCCAAGTGTTTCCTCACAAATTTCTGAATGCCCTCCCACAATACAATCAGACCCCTTATACTAGAATGGTCAAGGTGACCTTAAGGTTTACATGTGATAATATGAACTAATTTAGAACAACATAAATAAGACACAAAGACTATTCAAAAATAAATAAATAAATAAGACACAAAGAAACTAGTTTACTTTCTTTCCTTCGCTCGTTCTTAATTAGTTTTGTCTTCATCTTCATTAGAATTATCTTGAGGAAGTAGATTGTTCCCTGCTGCGCCCCTCCTTGCCCACGTTGACCCTTCTTCGTGTATAGACTTCATAGGTGAGTCCATCACGGAGTTCGGGTCAGATTGGTGCAGGGGTTTAGAAGAGGGAAAAGACCTTTCATGTTTGCACAATAAGGCAATGCAAGAGCTAACTCTTCACCATCAACTTCATCGGTATTTGATGCTCTGTACATCATGCTCAATCCTTGAATTATAGTTTTATAACTCACCTTGTTTCTGATGACTTGGCTAACGGGTCATGTGACAATAGTTTACTTGTTTCATGTTCTTATGTTGTCTTTTATGATCTTTATAAATAGCCATGCTAAACTATATCTTCCCATATTTTCACATTTGCAGAATGCAAGATGTGGAGCGGAAGGACAGACTCAAACAGTAGAGAAGCCTGTTTCTGTAATTTCAAATGCACCTGGTAAGCTATTCATTTCTGCAATTCATCAAATGGCTGAGATTTTGGATAGGAGTCTTGGAGCATTGTCTGAATTTTTGCTTAGAAAGAAAACAGTGATTATAAAGACTCTTTAATATATCTATGTGGTCACTTTAGTTAAGAGAAGGAAAAGCATGATTGTTTAATTTGTAGCTCTATCTGCCTGAGGTATTTGGGTGATCAGTTATAAAATGTTAACTTCAGGGAAACGTCCATTTCTGGATAGTCTTGGTGCTATTGACATCATTCTTAAATTTGTTTGCAGGTAAAGAGAAATCACCACTGCTTGATGATGGAGGAACTGGATTCCCGCCGCGTGATGATGATGGTGGTGGAGGTGGCGGAGGTGGTGGGGGTGGTAATTGGAGTGGTGGGTTCTTCTTTTTTGGTTTTCTCGCATTCCTTGGATTCTTGAAAGACCAAGAAAATGATGGACCATATCAGAATTCTAGACGGAGATGAATGGCTGCGGACAAGTATCTTCATGTAGTTACTAGTTACTATCTTGCAAGTCTTTTACGCTCTGATTATACGGTCAGCAAAGTAATTTTCTGTAGCTCATGGGGTGATTCCATAACGAAACGATGTATTGATTTGGCAACAAATGAGTCCCATAGTTATTCCATAATGCATCATAGTACTATATCATTTTTCACAATCTTTTATCTTTTGGTCGAACAACATCACATACAAACCATATCAAATTTGTTAGGCATAGCTCATTGGCTGAATTCATCAATGTTACTCCTAAGGGCCTGTTTTTATTGACTGAATTCTACTGAGCTGAACTGAACTTATTAATAAGTGATTTTTAACCATGGATTAGTGATCTTTGATTATTTATTATTTTACATATGCGTACATACAAATATACATATTAAAATATTTAAGAAAAATATACTATATAATTAGAATATTTATGGAAAATAAAAACATTTTTAAAACATATACTATTTAATTAAAAAATAAAATTAGTTTAAGATTGTATCATTATCATTATTGTTATTGTTATTGTTATTGTTGTTGTTATTGTTGTTGTTCTTGTTCTTGTTGTTGTTCTTGTTGTTGTGTTGTTGTTGTTGTAATTTCGTTCTATTTATAAAAAATAAAAATAAAAAATAAATAAAAAATTGTGGTGAGGCTAAAATACGGATCTTTTCTTCTATCCGTATTAATCTCAATCAGTCTTATTGTTGTGGATGTTGTTACTCCTTTCGTTCTATGAAAATCTTAATTAGTTGGAAAAGTATATAAATGTAACAAACTAGATAAATTTAGTTAAATTATTGTTTTTTTATAAAAATTTATTATAGTGTACATGGAGTTATTATCTTAATTATTGGAATTTACATACAGAACATGAAAATTTTTAAAATGGTGATGCGGCAATTAAGAAACCCAACCCATTGTAATAAATTATTTACATACTCAAAATTGATGTAAGATAATACTCTCTCTGTTTTCTTTTATTTGCATCAGTTTGATCGGTACATATGTCGAGACGCAACTTTAACCATTAATATATTTAATTGTTAATTTGTAAAAATTATAATAAAATTATATTATGAAACTAGACATTATGACAAATCTAATGATATATTATGTAATAACATTTATTTATTTCATATAGGTGAAAAAATCAAGTTAACCGTGGTATATAAATAGTGCAAAAATCAAAGTAATGCATTTAAAATTATTTGCTTAGATTTCCTCCCCCACTCGACTTGTTAAATTGGCAGTTATTTGTATCATTATACTATTAGATCTATGTTTGGTATGTATTTCAGTTAGTTTCATTGTGTAGCTAGTGTAGTTGGTCGAGCTTAGAGTTTATGTTAATGTTTAATACCGACAGTTTGGACTTGCAGGAAATATGGAATATTATGAATCCTAGGGATGTTAGTTGTATGTTGTTATGTTTGATCCAGTAATGTATTCTTTTTTAAGTTGTGTTACACAAATAACAAATTTATTAGTTGAAATTCTTATCTCGACAGTTACCTATCTTTAGGGGGATGTTCATATTTACTGAGCTGAGCTGAATTGAACTAAACTGAACTGATTGGAGCTAAACTGAAATGATTGGAGCTGAATTGAACTGAACTGAACTGAATTGAGCTGAAATGAATATTTTATGAGAGAGGAAGTTTGGAGTTGAACTGAACTGATTGGAGCTGAACTGAACTGAAATTAAGCTGAAGTGAACAAGGGTTAACCCTTAGCGCATAGCTAGGGCTGTGCACAGTTTGGTCTAGACAGTAACCAAACCAGACCAAACCGCATTTTAGCGGTTTGGTTTGGTTTACGGTTTGGAAAAATACGGTTTGGTTTCGATTTTTTGGGAAATACGGTTTGCAGTTTGGTTTGGTTTTTCAAAAATTATAAACCAAACCAAATCGTAAACCAGTAAACCGCATTTTAATATTTATATAATTTTTCAATCAATTAAAATAGTTATTATATATTATAAAAAAAATAAAAAAAAAAAACAAAAAAAACATGAAAAATCATTAGAAGACTACACGGTCAGCATACTACTATACTCTATACTAAATCTCAAATATCAATACTTAAAATTCAATAGGTCATATAACTATAATGTAGTATGATGTAGTATGAATTATTTTTTTGGACAAATGTATTATTGTTTTCCCACTGTTAATTTGTTATGTATTATTTTTATTATGTGTTATTGTGTTAGCACTTAGCACTTGATTAGTTGGTTGTTATTTTTATTAAAAAATTGTAGTATAATTTAATCCCTTTGGGCTAATTATTTGAACTTTATTATAAGTTTATTAATATTTGACAATTTTTAGGAAAAAATGTCGTCTCATCATAAACCGCAAACCAAACCGCATTATTACGGTTTGATTTGGTTTGGTTTCAATACTAACTAGCCTTCTGACCCGTGCAATGCACGGGATGTTTCTAAGGGGTACGATAGTAACTTTTGTTTTATAATATGTTTTAATTGTAAAATAAATAATTTATAAAGGAGAAGAAGGGGTGATAATTGAATGTAATTGTAGAGATATTAAGTTGGGGGAAAATGAATCAAATAACATTCATATATGTATTTTTTTTTTTTTTGAAGGGAACATTCATACATATATTAAATTAAAGCTAGTTCTTTTTTAAAATAATAAGAAAGGGGATTAATTAATGAAGGGAGGTGACATATGGGCCATATGGCATTGGTGAAAAATAAATTTTAATTACATGTGGCATGACGGGGATGATGGTTTGTGTTTTTAAATACTAAGTATAGATAGATATAGATATGGTTTGGTTTGGTTTGGAAAATTGACCAAAGCGTATTTTGCTGTTTGGTTTGGTTTAGACTCAAACCGCACCAAACCAGACCATGTTCACCCCTACGCATAGCTCCTGTTAATTTAGCAAACATATAGGATGAAAAATGTACCGTTACATGCGTAATAGGTGACAGATGATAAGTATTGTTGGGGGAAATATGCAACCTATAGGAAAGTAAAAAGTACCACTACACGCATCATAGTACACAAAAAATACTATTCACACAACTTATTCTTTAGTGGTACATCATACATGCATGATGGTACATAATGATGTACCACAATAGAGTCAGCTTTTTCTAGAAGTATGCCAAATTTACATTTTTGTCTTCCTATATGTTTTGTAAATGCATAGGAGCTATGCGTTGAGATGTATTTGTGAATAAGCCCTTAGTTACCAAGGTTATTAAAAAAAAAAAAAAACACACACACAAATTAAAAGTAATTGAACGACCAAACTAAAGTCATCACACCTAGGAATGTCAATTAGGGTGTCTGAGCTAGGTCGGGTCTATTTTGAACTTGAGTCATACCAAAATTATTATGGCAAAATTGGCCTCAATAGCACCAATTATAAGGTTGTTGCAAAGAATAACACAACTTTAATCGGGTGTAATTCACATCACAAACTATTAAGTTCGGTGCAAATAATGTTATAAATGATATCAGAGACCGGAAAAACATATTTTTATTAATTAATATATTTAACAAATTTCACCTTTTTAAAAAAATTTCTCTTGCCTATTTAATTAAATTACTGTACTAAGAACATGCCCCCTTTATTATAATTCATTTATTACCCCAATAAGTAAAAATTAACACTACTCCTTGAATAACACCAAAACGATGAAGAAGACGAAAATCAATCCTAAAATCCTAAGCAATCAATTGACACAAGACATTTTGTAAATTGTATCTTGGTACATTATGAAACTCGATTTCTACATTTGTACTGTGCTGAATATATGCATTTGGTTCCCCCCCCCCCATAATTTTATAATACTAGAGTATTTTCCCATAATTTTATGATACTAGAGTATTCTTTGGAATTATGATGATTCGTTGAAATTAATGTGTTGTTTGGATGAATTTGTATAATGTGTGTCGTGAGATTTCGATTTATGATACTAGAAAACTTTATTTTGCCAAATATAATCCATTTTTTGCAATTCATCATGAATTACAAAATATGTTAACGAAAAGTTATTAGGGAGCACGTTGTCACGTGCCGACTACTTTGCTCTAGTCACGCACCGTGCGCCACCCGCTTATAGTCCGTCATAAGATGAGTCAAATTTTCTCTCCTGGCACTACTTCTTGTTCCTATGTTGCACAACCCTTTGTGCTGCTAGAATATATTTACTAGCATGCCCCCTTGGTGCTAAGAAGTCCCCTTGGTTGAATTAAACACTCATCGTTAGTGTCTTAGGGCCTGTTCTGATTGACTGAACTAATAAAACTAAACTAAACTGAACTGAATTGAATATTTTATGAGAGAAGGAAATTAAGAACTGAAATGAACTAAACTGAAAATAATATGAAGAGAACAGACTCTTAGTCCATATTTACGACTAAGTGTCGTAAACAATTGAGCACACAAGCTATTACCCTTGCTAGTATGCCCGATCACTCACTTGGCACCCTCGTGCCTTGGTTTTCCTCATACTCTCTAAGTGTTTGAAGGAAAGACTCTTTAATATGATCATTGTTATAAAGTTTCTCTCGATTATTGTTTTTCGCTATCTTCTTTTATCATAATAGCCGCGTAAAAACCTCAAATGTAACCTATGTTGTGGAAATGAGGGAGTATTTAACACTTTATACCAAGGATACCCATTGTACAAAAAAATTATAACCCTATACGAATTGAAGAAAGTGTGGTTACATTATGGAAATGAGGGAGTATTTAGAGCATGCTCTCTTCAGATTATTTTCAGTTCAGTTTTAATAAGTTCAGTTCTTAATTTCCTTCTCTCATATAATATTCAGTTCAATTCAGCTCCAATAAGTTCGGTCAATCAGAACAGGCCCTTTATACTTCGTGCCAAGGATACCCATTGTACAAAAATATTATAACCCTATACGAATTGAAGAAAGTGTGATCAAAGGGTAAATATCATGGACTTGTGAACGCAGTCATAAAACACTTAGTTACAACCAATTCACATCCTCTTATTTATTTTCTCTCGATACAATTCATACTCTACAAATTTTCTTCCATAGTATTCACACTCTATAATTTAGTCACACATGTAGCCATATAGGTAATAAATTAGCACTAGAATTAACACAAATAGCCATAAGGACAATAAATAACAAAGTGATAATTCAATATAGTCCCACATTAGGTAAAACTTGAATGTGTCTATGTAAATGTAACATACACACTTTTTATACTTGTAAGTTTAACTAAATTATTGTATACTGTACATGTTTATTTTTTATTTTAAAAATAAAAAAAATAACCAAAGTGGATAATGGAGTGGCACCACCACCACTACTACCACCATCCTCCACCATCCAAGGATGTTTTATGTCAGTCACGTGTGTCACGTGCCAAGGACAGTTTTTTTTAATTTTTTTTTCTAAGGAAAAAATACATATATTTTTTTTCATTTTTTTAAAAAAAATAATTTATTTCCATGACAAGAAATAAAAAAAATAAAAGCCAAATATGGTGGTAAATCTCTAGATTCACTCCCCTTTTGATAGGTTAAAATAAAAAAAGCAAAAAGTAATTAATGATTTTAATTATAATTAGCAAAGATAATCGCACACATTCATACTCGAAATAACGGCCATTTGACCCACTAATTAAAATCCCCGCAAAAATAATTTCTTATTACCCTCCAAAAAATATATAAATATTAAATATTAAAGTAAAAATATTTATTTTTAGCGCAGAAAAGGGAAGAAGTTTGGGAGAAAGAAAGAGGAGAGAGAAAGTGAGACTAGACACGGCGTTTCATTTCATTTCATAGTCTTTCAAGCACAAATCTCAAGCAATATTTATTTTCTTCCTTTTTCTTCCTTTTTTTTCCTTGATTTTTTTATTTATTTTTTTCCTTTTTTAATATTTAATCTTGGTATATAAGTGCATAAATTAGTATCATACAAAACAAGGGTTGTGTTGTGGGAGTAAACACTGGAGTAATTATTATAGTCTCAATCAATTGCAACGGCTATTTCTGAAGTAGTGAGATTTTGGTTTTGGGGTGAAAAAGTTTGATTAATCTTATGGATTTATATAATGATAAGTATGTTTACTGTTATTTGTTCTTAATTTTTGTTTTTGATTTATTGGGTTTTTTTGGTTGATGGGGTTGGTTAAGGAATGCAGTTTTTGTGATTGTTTTTTTCTGGATTTTTGTGATAGAAATGTGGATTGTTGATGGTGGTTAGTTTATAATTTGTGGGTTGATTTCTGAATTTTGCATAAAAAAATAGTGCTTGATTTTTCTATTTTTTTGGGGTTTTGATGTGTATGAATTCTGGGTTTATTTGCTTGGTTTTGGTTGATTTTTGAGTGGTTTATCAGTTTATAGGATTTGGGTTTTGACTTGATTAGTGGGTTTTGTTGGATTTCTGAATTTCTGGAAAAAAGTTAGGTTAATTTTTTGGTGGGATGGAGGGTTTGATGAGTAGCAGTTTTTTTTTTTTTTTTTGTGTTTTATCATGAAATTCTCAATTGTTTTATGTTGGGAAGTAATTTGTGTATATTAATCTACATCTTCTTGTTGATTTTGCTTTTTCCCAGCCTTGCTGCTTGGATTTAGATGCTTGATTGCATGCTCTACATTGGATTGGGATTTTAGCAAAGTTTAGACATATATATCATACATTTTGCTTGTTTACTCTAAGAATTTCAGCAGCATGATAGCATTGTTGTATGTGATATTGCATTGAGTGGATTTTTGATGTTTTCATTCATAATTGTTCTACTTGTTTCAATGGGATGAAGCCGTTGGGCTAAATCGTGCTATCTTGGTTTGGATTCGCGTTTTGTTTGTTTTCGATTGTAATTTGAGTTGCATTTAGTTTGGTGTGTCTCTCCTATTAAGTAATTCATCAGTTTAATTTCAATGTTTATGATTTTTTGTTGTGTCGAGTTTGATTGTTTATGATTTAGTTGTCTATCGCTTCATATAATGATAGAAATGTATCTGATTATGGTATATCTTTTTTGATACTTATTAGGGAATCATGGAAATGGCCAGGGGAAGAGTATCTTCTTAGAAAGGAACCTAATTGCGGTGAGCTCTTAATTAAGCTGTAAATGCATTTGTAATTATTAGTTTTTTTGATGATATCTTATTACTACCTTTATAGCAGATATGGCCAAAGCTAAATGTATGTTGAATGGTATGACTGTAACTCAAAATGAAGAAGACATTTCATACATGATTGAGGAATCCACTCCGATTAAGGCTTGTGGTGACTTGGCTTATCAATTTAATAACTCTGGTGAGACCTCTATCTTCCAAACAATCCCCTTCAATTGGACAATTTTGTGTTTATTATCAAGTGTTTATGACATTGTTAGTTACAGAGATTATGAGTAAGACTCCTCAAGATGGCAAAGAGTACACCTCTCAAGTTAAGCGACGGCGTGTGCTGGACTTTGATAGTACTACTGATGATATTACATCCTCATTTCTCAAATCCAAGGTTGATTCTTGACTATTGCTTTATTTTGCGTAGATATTAATGTATAAACCGTCTTTAATTATTGAAATCTCCACTTGTTCTGTGGCATACCTAATAGGAATCTAATTTCTTTGTCCTCCTCTTTGTAAATGCGTATTATGTTATAGATACTTTGTCTAGTATTTATGATCTGTACAATTTATTCATGTATTTTCTATTCTCTTGGCACCTGAGCTTTATCTCTATTGAACTTTTGATGTATTTTTGGCATCCAAGTGTGTTTGGAGCTTATGTAGAATTGTGGACATCAAATTCATCCTTGTTTGTTTTTCTGTACAGGAAAGGATTGATTCTTTCGATGACATTGATATATTACCTGAAATGTCAGAGTGGGAGGCTTGCTTGCAAGGTTTGCTTCTTTAGTCATGGGATTTGAATAGGGTTTGTGCATTTGTTTTATGACTTATATTTGACATTCTATTTTTATCAGAGGATTTATGTTTTGAGGATTTAGTTCAATCTGAAGCTTGGCTTGCTGATTGCCTTATTGACACCGACATGAATACTAGCTCCGATGATGGGTATGTAATTCACTTAACTTTTCAAAGTCATGTTATTTTCTTGATCTATTTGTTGCTCAGTGTGCTTGAATGGATCCCATTGAAATGCAGGAATGCTGCTGTCACATCTGACATTCAAATTGGTATCAATGGTATGCCTGATGCAAATTTGTGTAGTGTTCTTAAAGAAGTTTGTATGTATACATTATCCTTGGTATTAATACCGATTTGTGTTTCCAGAGGTTTGCAATATCACACCTGATTCAGGACCCAGTATGTCACAGCGACCAGTCAGAAGTTCTCGGAATGTTATTTTTAAAGGTACTTTGCATTTCTTCTGTGCTTTGCGTTTCAGTGACTCAGTTCTTGGGCTTAATACCTATGATGCTTATACTTTGCAATACTTAAAATGGGATTTATCTGACAATATCTCATCTGGCTGTTTATGTAACGCAGGCAGGAAGTCTTTCATGAGAGCACCATCAAAACTTCCGTCCTCTGTTGCTTATCCATTTGATTTCATTAAACCCTCTGGAGTTAGTGGAGATGTGACTCTCAAAGATATAAATCAGCGGATACTTACCCCACCTCCATCGAAATCCAAACAAGTTAAGGAAGACCCTGCCTACCCTACTTCAGCCTTTTCTGGGAAACCTGTTGTTGGAAAAACCAAAATCCCTACTCAAGGAGGAAAAGGTAGCATCACAATTATGAGAACAAAAGGATGAACGCTAAGTCATCTTCCCATTTCCGCGGCTCCATTTTGCCTTTTTGCTCTTATCATCCGGGGGCTGTGGAATGGTTTGGCATTGTATTGCAAGGTCAGGTTAATTATATATCTATGCATTACACAAATGCACAACACATGGAAGTGTTAGTGCACGAAAAATGCAACTGTTGCAAGGTTGAGAGCTGATTTTTGTGCAAATCTTTTGGTTCTTCGGGCGGCTACAATTTCAGGGGTATTCTTTAGCCTGTTACAAAATATGTAGCTTAGATTTTATAAATCCTTAAATTATTTTGGTGGTCTGTACATGGTTATCTATTGGTTCATGAAATACAAATTTCTTGATGTATCTACTTGATGTTGCTTCTAAACATTGGGATGAAATGAAAAGAGTTGTTTTTGAGGTAGAGATTTGCTTCTTATTCCCAAGCATTGGTTATCATTGAAGCTTTTTAATTATTGCAAATAATTGATTTAGTAATGTTATTTCACTTATTTGGACCCAAATTTATGTGAAAAAAGGAGGGTATGACAAATAATAAAAAGAAAAGGACTTGTCCAATCAATGTAGTATAGATTAGTCAATGCTTTACTTGCATTTGATTGGACTGTTATAGGCTCCTTGGTTAGACTTATGTTACCTAATTCTCAACATGAAAGATTGGTATGGGAACATAATTTGCTACCTAGATGATAGTTCAAATTATGTACTAAATTAAGTTTGAATTGTAGTTTATGAGGAATTTAGCAAAATTGGCAACATAGGGTGGGACTAAATTTGGGTCCAACATCATAAAATTATTAATTTACCAAGTTTTAGTAGCAATTTGGCTTAAGTTTGATCTCGGTTTGAATTGGCTTAAGTTGTATCTAATCATTAATCAAGTTTTGGATTTTTTATTGCAATTAACTCCGAAAATTCGACAATTTTATTCCAAACCAATCCGATTTAGGATTAGAGTGGTATTTGTTCCAATTTAGAAATCCAAATTAATCCAAATTAGTGGCTCACTAGCTAGTTTATTAACCTATTATCAACCCATAAGTTTTATATAACTCTAAAAAACCAACCAACCAAAAAAAGTCTAAACTTACATTACCATACTAATTATTTTACAGGAATTAAACCCTCAATCAACTGATTTAATAATGATCACATTCATATTGATAATATGATTGGGATTGGATCAAATCCAAATTGCATTGCTAGCACTAAAGCAATCACTTTTTACTATTATTGTATGATTTACAATATTCACTCATTTGACATATATGTGTAGATTATAGTTATATTTAAATAATTTGGGATATTCATAAGATGAACTTTCAAGCCTAGGAATTTTAGTGAAGTGTAAGCAAATAAGCAAGCTTGTTGATTTATCATTATAGATATAGGAAGATTTTATGATGTACACAATTTAATGCAATCAAAAGTTGAAGATACACGTCCTTCACACACACATATATGTATTACATACAAACTAAACAAACATCCTTCTATTAAAAACGATATTAATATTTGAAAATTCACAAATTAGTCACACAACTACGAAACTTATAATTATTGATTAGAATAAGTGTATATTATTAGTAAATACGGCTTAACTTAATTCCAAAAATTTAGGAACCGCTTTGATTGAATCCTATTCCGATTTGACAACCGGTTGTGCTCAACCGTAATATATATAATCACCAATAGATTTATCAATGACCTAAAAAATAGAGTAAAATGTGATTCAACAAGTATTTTGGTCCTCCACCAACTGTACTTATCTCCTGGGAATTAGAGATAAAGTTGTGGGCATGCTTGCCTACTTTGAGGGTGAAAAAAAAAGGAATAAACATAATTAATAAATTATTAATACTACACTAAAGAAAAGACGTTAGAAGTTATATTAGATTGTTATATATTTGTACTTTGTTTCTTCTTGTGTTCCACCTTTTGTTTGCTTTGACACTTTTATAACCTTTTTTTCTAATAAATTGCAAAGTTAAAGTTGTTTATTAGCTTAATATGGCAATTAAAATTAAAAAGGGTTTTATTATTTGATTAATTTGGTTTTGGTAAAAGTCGAGGAAGTTTCATTGAGATGCCCAAAATTCTCTTCTTTGAGTTGTCATTTTCTGATGAATTTGTAGCCTTTTCTTTCTTGTCACTGTTTATTTGTGGGACAATTCATAATTTCTTATGTAACATTGGTTAGAATTTTTAATGCTATCACGTGGAACTTGGGTTATTTTAACTAGGGTATATGTGATGTACTTGCTCGGGTTAATCCTAGCAAATTGCGTAATTGTTTGATTAGGCATAGAATTAAATTAGTAAATTGTGTAATCGTTTGATTAAGCATATGAGTATTATTTTGTAGTAATGGTCTGTTCTGATTTACTGAAATGAGCTTGAACTGATTAGAGCTGAACTGAATAGAGCTGAACTGAACTAAACTGAATAGAGCTGAAATGAATTGTTTACGAGAGAAGGATATTAGGAACTGAACTCAACTGAAATTAAGTTGAAGAGAACAAGCCCTATTCTCTTGTTTGTAGTTTATTCTTTTAAAAAAAATTAGAAAAGTTGTTAATTACCTTACCCTAATTAACTTAAATATGAAAACAATTTCTTCATTTTGTAGCTAACAATTAGGTTTCTTTTTAATACGTAAGATAGACTAAAATTTATAGTAATTTTCAATAACTTTTATCAATATTTTGGCTTAAAAGTTCAATATATCCCGTGCATTAGCATGAGTATATTCTAGCTCCTCTAATTCCTAGCACACCACGTTCGTGCATGGATGCCTAATCCATTTCTACACACGCCTAACGTACGGAGCATGTATCATCCATTCATGATTCATCCAGTTCATCCTCAAAGATAGATATACTAGTTGTGAAATGGAATACTGACAGAATTATAAATATATGTAGGTAAGAAATATTGTATGTGGACGCCACTAAGCATTGCTTTCAACCACAATTGTTAATGCAAATTTGTTGAAAAGTCATAAAGATATGTAACATATGTTTATATATGTAATTTGAATGTGAAGCATGTCAGCTTTAGCAGCGCAATAGTAAGTAATTTAAAGGAGAATATAGCATGGGTAAGATATGGGAATTTGTACTTTGAAATTTTTGATTGCTGATACTAATAGTAGTCTAATACTACTTGTGTAAGTTGTCTTTGTAATGTTGTTGTAATATGCCATCAATATGTCTAGATTACTACTTTAATTTCGGTCGTGTTTAGGAGGATGTTCCGAAGCCTTAATGTTTAGTAATGACTAACTAATAATTTGCATCTACATCCTAATTATAAAGGACAATCGATCTGTTTCCCAATCGTTAGAAGAATATAATAACAAACTCATATGAGCCAACTATATACATTATTTATAGATTCACAATAAAAAGAGAAGAAAAGAAACTAAATGGGAAATAGCTACACAGGAAAGCCAATCACATTAGCAATCTTCCACCTTGATACATATTGAGAAAAAAACTAACAAAATCATACACGACTGTATTTTTTCATATATATAAATCACGAACATTACTCAAAATGAAGTTTATAAACACTAAATCTAAAGTATATTCCGTAACTATTTTGTGAAGCAGAGGTAGCATTAGGTTTAGCCTTTAGGAGGTTAGACATAATTTAAGGGCTCCCTTTATGCTAGAAAACCCAAAAGCCTTGCACCAACCATATAAAGCCGTTGCAATCAAATAAAAATGGAGGGAAATAGGTAGTCTATTGGATATAAAGCCGTTGCAATCAAATTTAAGCGGCCCAAGTACCCAATCAAATCTTGCATGACCCAATTATTTCCGGGTTTGGACTATCTGCTGGCCCAATTGCAATACTTAGCATAAGCCCAACTTTAATTAAGTATAAGGCCCAAAGTGGGGCCCAAGTAGCGTAAAAGGTTGATTGAATTTCTGGATTGAAAGGGTAATGGATTTGGGCGGCAAAAGTTTGGTTTATATAGAAACAAATTGCTGACTTTGATTTTTCCCAGAATTATTATTCACGGATGAAGAATGTCCCAAACCCAGAATTTAACAGTACTCCGTAGAAGATATTCTGAAACAGAGCGTGCGTGTTCTGACAAAGATCCGTTGCTAAAACAGGATATTCGGTTATTTGGGGAGTTGTGGTATGGCATCGTCCGATACTCATCTATTAATTAGTTTAATTGGTTTAAAATTTTAGAATTTGTGTTTTAAATTGGTGTAAGTAAATGATAATACTAGGCAATATTTACAATTTGTGCCTCTCTTTAAGGGTTTGTTCTCTCTAGCTTAATTTCAATTCACTTCATCTCAATTCAGTTCAACTTCAATCAGTTCAGTTTAATTAAGTTCATTTCAGTAAATCAGAACAGGCCCTAAGATTATTTATAGAATTAGAAAATTTTAACTAAAAATATTAGAAAATTCTTACGATTGGCACCTTGAGTATACTTAAAGAAAAGCATATTTTAGGGCATTTTTGTGAGATGTATGAACATAATGTCATTCACGTCATGTATAATAACTATACGGTACGAAGTACAAGATAATGTGCGGTATGCACAAGTATTCCATATACACATGTCTTTTTAATGTTAAGTGGGTACAAATGTGTGCATAACTAAAACTATACCTATACGCAAACTACCCGGCCTCATACACTTATTATTGTCTTCTTAATATTACGGTGTATAAACGTACACATGTCTTGCAATACACGTACATAAATGTCATACACGTATTGTTATGCTTTTATTGCAAGTACATACAACCAAAACATTTCAAAGAGACGGAGTCAATTAGTCTGGCCTATTGATTTGTACATATACCCACCCTCTAGTCTTAGGCTTTGATTTCATTAATTTTCTCCCATTAAAAATCACAACTATCTTTACTGGAGTTTGATCAATTTGCTAAAATTGAGACCTAATCAACATGTTAAATTTGGTACAAAAAGAATAGTCAAGGCTTGGATAGTTTTTAGGCACGTCTTTTAAATTTTGATCTTACTCCTTGCCCCACAAAAGCCAACCCCCCCCCCCCCCCCAACCAAAACACTCCTCTACACCCTCACCCTTTTTTTTCGTCAAAAACTTGAACAATTTGTCCCATGAGTTCAATTACCTCTATTATAAAAGTAAACTCTTAAGAAGTTTTATATCCATCTAATTCTATTATCAAATACTCGAACAAGTTTATCCCATAAGTTCTATTATTTCTATTATATAAGTCAACTCTTGAGAAGTTTGATGTCTACGTAAAATGCCTAAAATGTCGTCATTGTTTTGAAAGGTGAAGCACATTGCATTCTATATGATAACTAAAGGATGGTCTAGTATCATAGCATCCTTTAGTTACCATGCATTGATTATGGTAACTAAAGAGTAGTTTATTAATTA